GTTGTCCAGTTTAATTTACCTATTTTGTCATCAGTCTGCTTCTAAACACTAATACTCAACACTTCAAAAATGATAAATCCAGCTTCTATTACTTTTTTGGACTACAAAACCATGGTATCTCCGTATCGTGTTCATTCTCCATAGGCCATGGTTGATTACTTTCATAATGAAACTACCGACCTTCCAGCTTGATTTTGTGCTAAAACTTCTTGAAGTCTCGCTGAAACAGGGAGCAATGAGCATTTATAATAAATCAACATCTCCACTATTAAAAAATAGTGCAGCCTTAAAGCTAAATTGAACTTTAGCTTAAGTCAGCTAAACACATGCCAGAAGAATCAAAACAAAAGTCTTACAGTTTATTTTCGTTTGAAATCACCTACAGCTGAATACAAAAAACTATCCAATGCCAGCATGCGTGTCTGTGTGGAAGCAGTGGTCTCTCTGCAGAGGTCACACACACTTCATGCTAAGTTAGAACAAGAGCTCGCCAATCACGCAGCTGGGCGGATCCAGACATAATTGTCGGGATCCGCTTCAGCTGCGGCGTCTCAGTATACAGCGTTCGCCCGTGAAGCCGCAAAGTCAATACCCAAAATTTCCCATAGGGAACACTTTAAACGCTTTTACCGCTCATCAGTTTAGTGCTATCAGTGATTGACGATGGCCCTATAAGTATTGCTCTCACTGCGAGGTTCGAGGCGATAGGTAACATGTGTAGAGCAATTGTCGTTCTTGCACGTAGGCGCACCAACATGTTCTTCATTGGGAGTCCTCAGGTGACATTAGGGGTCTTAGACACCCCTGTCTCCATAAAGAGGACCTGTGAGTGTGCCTGTGCTATCACATAGGCGGATTGTTAGTTTAAGTCCCCCACCCCCACATTTATGCACGCGCCAACGACACAGGAAAAGGCAATTCGTATTCCTCTTGTCAAGCCACTCCTGAACAACAAACAACGTCAGAAGCGGCTAAAGAAAAACAGACCTGGTCTGTTGCTCAGTGGCCCAAAGTCCTCTTTTCTGATGAGAGCAAATTTTGCATCTCATTTGGAAACCAAGGACCCAGAGTATGGAGGAAGAATGGAGAGGCACACACTGCAAGATGCTTGAAGTCCAGTGTGA